GTGTCGTCAATATCAAAAATGATACACTTATCTTCTTTATCATATATAGATGTATTTATGCTTTTTATATTATCTGTGGTTTTTACTATTTTCATAAAGGGTAAATTGAATATTTTAAATTAAATTTAAAAAATCAATTATGTGACCGATAGAGGTAGTAACCAATCACACATTAAATAAATATTATTGTTCAAATTATTAATATTAAATATTTACAACCTAAATAAAGTAACTTTTAAATCTGACATATTAAGCAAGGTTAGACAATTTAACTAGTTTTAAATGCAATCTTTTAGCTACTTTATAAATTTATATTTGCAATATTTATTTTGATTTAAAAGCGTTTTATAATGCATTTTTACCTACATCCAAAATTAATCATTTAAAATAAAAAGGCTTAAAAGTGAACATTACATTCATGAAGAATATTGTCAACAATCTAAGCAAAAATTGTAGTATAAAATATTTAATTAAGCTAATAGCTATTTTTTGTAATATTTTGTTACATTATTAAAAAAGTTACATTCTATTGTTTGACATGTATTGAACATTTTATTAGTGTACAAAGACCAAACCACTGTTTTAAAAATGCATTTTTTTGTACAAAAAAATTTAAATGGTTATCTTTTAAAACAAAAAGGCCTTAAATATCGTACTAATTTTTTTATTTATTTGACAACAATATAGCTTTTTAAAAACTTAACTATTCAAAACAGCCAAAATTTAATTTAATGAATATTATTGAAGCTATATTTTTATTATGTCATTATATAAGCTTAGATTTTTTTTTAAAATTTTTTTATTTTAGACCCATGCTATTTACGCTACATACATGTAAAATGATTTTTTAGTACATCATATAAGAATAAACTATTAAGCAAGCTTGTAGAGAATTTATCTAGATTGAATATTTGTAGTTGCTAAGGATTTAAAATCGACCTAAAGAAATTAATTAGAGAGTCAAGTAATTCTTAAGTACTCTGATCATGAGACTGTGTATGTCTGATAAATAAAATTTAAACAAACAATTGTTTCGGTACATCAAATTTTTTAAGTATGCTTCCATAACTTTTTATTCTTAGACAATTTTTGTTTCTGTTTTTAAATTGTAAATTTTAAGTTTACACTTGAAATTAAGAATTTATAATACCCTAATGTTAGTATTAAAAGAAAGTTTAGCCACATTTTTTGCAAAAAATAAAAAGAAAATTACTAGCCAAAAAATAACTATTTGTTTAGGAAATGAAGGGTGCGATTTAGATTCATTTATAAGCTCCCTTATCGTATCTTATACTGAAGACCATATATTTGTCGTAAATATGAGAAAAGACGTTTTTATTAGTAAGGGAGATCTAATGTTTGTTTGCGACAAATTTGGTATTTGTGTAAATGATCTTATTTTTTTAGAAAAGCCTCAAGGAATATTTTCAAGTGAAGCTAAAAAAATAGGTACTTATTTTTTAGTTGACAATGAAAAGTATTTTATCAACGACAAAGAAGTAACAATAATCATAACAGATCATAACGAACCTATTGAAGAATTGAGGGATTGTGAACTTGAGATGATTATAGATCATCATATAATTACAAATAATATATCTAGCGCTAAACGGATTTATATTGATATCGATGTAGGTTCAGCAACTACTTTGGTATCTAAATACTTGGCACACGATTTGTCAAAAAAATTACACTGTTTTGTTAAGAAAATTAAAAAAAATCGATCGATATTGTGCGCACAAATAGCAAGTCTATTAATTATTCCAATTTTACTTGACACAAATTTTTTAAAAAAACGTGTTGGCGCATTTGACATTCTTGAATACAGAAAATTAAAGAAAATTAGTTGTTTAAAAAAGAAAGAACTAAAGCAAACTTACAAAAGCATTAAAAAAGCACGTTATAATGATCATTTATTTGATACAAGTATTATTCTGCAAAAGGATTTAAAAACATACAATTCTGCTGACTATATTTTTGGAATGTCTGTAATAAAATATAAATTTGAGGATTGGATAGACAGGGAAACTAAAGACATCACTGGTCTTGAAAAGGACAAGGAAGGGATAGCATTGTTATGCAAATTACAGGCTTTTAAAGAAAAAATGGGGCTTGATTTTTATTTTGTATCGACTAAAATTAAAGGAGTACGAACAATAATTATATTAGATTTTCCTTTTCTTAAAAATCTTATGAACGAAATGAAAATGCACAAAATAGAATATAAAGGATTAATCTATTTTAAAATAGATATAAAATTGACTAGGAAAATTTTTATACCTAAAATTATTGATATGTTGTTGAAAAATTGTAAAAATTGTCAATAAAAATTTTTGTTTTAATTTAACTGTATTTTGAATATAACTGTTAATTAACGCCTTTTAACAAGTGCAGTAAATTATAAAATAAGTTTAAATGTTATGTGTTAAAATTTTTGGGTTTTAAATTCAATTTGTTAATATTTTATTTAAAAGTTTTTATTGGTAAAAAATAATTTAAGTTTTTAAAAATTTTAAATTTATGAGAAGTATTAATGAAGCAGTAATTAAAAATAATAATGTTTTTATAAAAATGGATTATAACGTAGGAATTGACAAAGGTAGGGTATTAAATGATTATAAAATCAAAGCATCATTCTCGACAATTAAAGATGTTTATTACAAAAATCCTGCAAGAATAATAATTGGTAGTCACCTAGGGCGTCCAAAGGGGCATTTCGATAAATCATTAAGTTGTCTCCCTATATTTGATGTACTACAAAAAATGATCAAAGAAGAATTAAAAGAAAATTTGTATTTTTGCAAAATTGAAGATTATAAAGGAGAAAAATTTGTGCTTTTGGAAAATTTAAGGTTTTATCCTGAGGAACAAAAAAATTTACACACTAATACAATTCTAAGCGATTTTTTTAAAAAGTATGTTGATATTTTGATAGTTGACGCTTTTGGTGTTTTACATCGAGAAGAATATTCTACCTGTTTAACGGGCAAAACACCATTTGCAGGCAATCTAGTTCGTAATGAATATATTATTGGAAAAGAACTTTTAAATGATGGAGTTGAACTTATCATACTTGGTGGAAGTAAAATTAAAGATAAAGTTAGTATTTTAGAATCATTGGTTCCTAATTGTAAATCAATATTTGTTTTGGGTGCACTTGCATGTTCTTTTTTGAAATATCATTATAATGTTGAAGTCGGAAAATCTAAGGTTGAAGAAGATGTAGCTGAAATGATTGAAAGAATATATAAGCTAAGTAACGAACACACCGTTAACATTTATTTACCACAAGATTATAAAGTTTTGCAGAATGGAAAATATTTTTTAAGTGAAAAAATTCCAAAAGACGGAGAGGTTGTTGATATAGGCTTAAAAACTATAGAACAACTCGAAAAAGTTATAAACAAATATGAAAGTATATTTTGGAATGGGCCGCCCGGAATTTTTGAAAATTTTAATTCAAGTGCAGGAAGTGAGGCACTAGTAAAGATATTGGCCAAGAAATGTAAAGTTGTCGTGGGCGGGGGAGAAACTTCTGCTTGTGTTTGCAGATTTGGAAATGTAAATGATTTTTTCCATGTATCTACAGGAGGCGGAGCATTTTTAAAATTATTAGGAAATGAAAAGCTGCCTGGTATTGATTTGTTACTGAATAAATAATTATACTAAATTATTCTTTAATAAAAGTAGTTTATTTTGCAATTGTAGTCGCTATGGTAAAGACATAAAATGTATGATTTTTTTAATATTTGTAATATAATCCATAATTATCATTAAAGGTTTGACATATCCTAATGGAACTGTCCTATTCATAGGAATAACACTACTATACTTTTACTAAATGCTCTTTGCCATATTCAACAAGTATGATCTCGTTTTTAAGAGATAATTCAAAAATGCTTTCGTTTGAATTAAAAAGTTTTATTATTTTTATAATTTATATTTTTTCAAATTCTTTTTTCCATTACTTTCTTTTCAAAATTTTTTTAATAATAAATTTATAAAAATTTAAAAATATTAAAATATATCGAATAAAAGAATTATTATTACAAAGATCATGACTCGCTTGGTAAGTATTTATACTATGACTAAATGCCTAATTTATAATTAGTTTCACCATATAATAACTAGTTTCTACTCATACTGTTGACTATATTTGTTTGGTGGAGCAGCAGGATATATTCCATTTGCTAAATAATTACCAAAAAACAATAAGGAAGGATAAATTATTTGTGTAATATGAATACAATTGAAGTTTCTTTTGGTAAAATGGCAGGTCATTACAATGACATCTTTGGATAATATTAAAAAATTCTTGAATAAAAACAATCTAATTAAATGTTATTTTGCAAACATTGTTAAAAATATTGTTAGAATTAATTTAAATAAGTTTACAAATAAAGAGAATCTCAATAATGCATGGAAAGAAAAGAGGCAATTATGATTTTGTAGGAACCGAAAAAACTTTCTGGTGAACAATTACCATTCTATAATATTTCTAATACAGTGCGCGTCAAAACGTTAATACCGGCAAAAAAATTTATTTTTGTCAATACAATAAATGTATAATAAGGATTATGAGAGTATAAATCAAGCTTAAATAAAAATTTACATAAATGATTTTTTTAATAAACCCAATTATAGGTCAACTATAAATTTTTGATTTTTTTTCCACAATAAATCGCGTCAAAATGTTAAGGCCGATGCCAAGGTTAAGTATAAAATTAAAGTTAAACAAGCTAAATCTTTTATTTTTAAGAGATTTTAGTGCGTTTACTTTATAATTGATTCTATTTTACTATAATGGATGTAGAAAAATTAATTTAGCTTTAAATTTAACGTAAAAAATTTTATAAAAAAAACTATAAATATAAACATAAGCTAAAATAAATGAAATTTGTTGATCTTTTTTCAGTACGATAAATTGTAATATTAATGTCTGTAAAACATATATATTGATGATGTTTTTAGGTTTTTTTAAAAAAGATAATTTTAGACCTTATAAAAAAGAAAATTTTTAAGTTGCTATTTAAGAGAATTAATAGATATTTATTACATATCAGATAAAAGCTATAGTTAAATTAGTACTTTATTTGGAAGTTTAAGACTGTAAAAAGAAGTTACATCACATCTAAAGATTAATCTGAGCTTACTATAAAAACAGAATAGAAACGGAGATTCTCTTTAAAATTTATAACAAAAATTTAGAAAATGGCAACAAACAAAGTTATTTCTGTAACCAAAATTAAATTTGATATAAATTTAATTTTTTCTAAATTTACAATATTTCGGGTAATAAAAAATAAAAAAATTATAATCTTAAGAAAATAAAACAAAGGCAGCCATTAACAGAATTTCATAAATAAATTTTTTTGCTCTAAACAAGGATCTTTGACAGATAAATAGCATAGATTAATTTTTTAAGACGAAAAAAAAATTTTTAGATGGGCCTGATAGCTTTTTATACTATTAGCATCATTTAGGTGTAAGGAACACTCTTACAACAAAAGAGTTTGGGGCGGTAGATGAAGTATGGTTATGTGATATTTAACAACATAATTTTTCAAAAATGAATTTTCTAAAATTTTATTTTTTACAACTAAAAAATTTTAAAAGCAGGATACATAAAAATGAAGAATCACCAAGGCCAAGGAGCGTACAATAAAGCATTAATAAAGATAGATAAAAGAATTAATAACAAGTTGGTTATAACAAAAATAATTTTTTTAGGTAGTTCTGAGGCAACACTTTCGTCTGAGCCGCCTCACCTGAGATTACCACAGTTATGCACCCGCTTTTGGTCTAATTACCAATTAATAATTCAAATAATAAGTAATAAAATAAATAATTAATCATAATGTAAAATGCTTGAAACACCTTTAAAAGCTTTTATCGAAAAGAAAATAATTTGGATATAAATTTTAATAATAATACCTACATTATTCAACAAGACAATGTCTCTGTTCTCGTTCAACAGCACCATGGTTTGAAGAAAATAATACAAAATGCATAGATTGGCTTTCCTTGAATTTGGATTTAAATTCTGTTAAAAATTTCTGGCCAAAAATGATAAAAATAATACATTGAAACGGTAAGAAGTACAATAATGTTTAAGAACTGCATTCTGCAATGCTATAAGCATGGGCAAGTGTTATTTTAGAGAATTTGTTACAGTATATTAATGAAATGCAAAAAACGTATGAATTAATGTTATGAAGAAAAAGGTAATGTGATTAATAAATATTTTTTTTTATATTTTTTTAAGTATAGGATTGTTTTTTTAAAAAAAAATTATAAAAACATCTTCAATGTATACGTTTTACAACCATTAATATTACAATATATCGTACTAAAAAATTAATATACGCAGATTCCATCAATTTTAACATATGTTTCGATTTATAATTTTGAGTATATTATTTTTACCTGTAATTTAAAGCTAAACTAATTTTTCTAAATCTTTTATAGTAATATAACATCTAAATGTAATGGTAAAAAATTAAAGTTTCTCAAAAAAAAAAGTATTTTATTTATTTTTATTTAATTTAATACTTAATTTTGCCACCGGTCTTAACGTTCTGGTGCCATTTTTGTTGAAAAAGATCAAAAACCCTTAATTGACCTATAACTAGGTTTATTATAAAAATTCATAAATACAGTTATATAACTTTTTATTTAAGTTTGTTTATACTCTCAAATGCTTATTATACGTTTATTGTATTAAAAACAGATTTTTTTGCTGGTCATAACATTTTGACGCACACTGTAGTTATATTATTGATGCTCTACTTTCGTTATTGAACATCGAAAATATGAAAAAACAAATGTAAATAGATTAAATTAAAAATAGTAAAGAAAATAATTAAAAAATATATTTGGGGCAGGTTTATTACTCCAGTGCTTTTTTTATGAAATATTTATTAGTGGCATAGCCAATTTCAAAAAAAGCTTTTGTAAAAATTTTTTATAAATTCTTGTTTTTAAAAATTATTTTAATTTACTTTATTTTTGTAAAAATCGAAAATTTTTAAAAAATTGATGCTATTAAAATTTTTAAAAAATAAATCGAATATTTATAATTTATTTTAAAACGTTTGCTAAAAATGTAAAATTTAGTAATTTAATAAATATTTACTGATAAGTCATATGATAAATTACACCATAACACACAGATCGTTTTAATGAACTACAAAGGTTAATTTTATGTATTTTAAAGAAGTTGTTTATAAATTTTTATCATTTTAGTGATAGAAGTTTTAGAAAATATTAAAAAAATATATAAATTTTAAAATATATCCCATAAGATGTTCAAATTCTTCTACTTTTTTACAAGCATATATACCTCTACAAATAATGGATCGATTAGTACAACAGAATTTGTCGTAAGTAATGTAAATGATTTTTATAGCACGAAAAATAAAAATCAATGTACTCAAATTTCTAATGGTAACAATAACACAAAGCAATTTTTGGAAAAAGAAGATTTTGAGCTAGAAA